TCCTTCTAGAAGTTCATGACGTGTTACTAGCGTCACGTGACTTCCGCTGTCGTAACAGTATAGTCCAGCACTCTAATAACTGAGCCACCCGCAGCTCAAGAAAAAAAAAGAGATAAAGAGAGGGAAAGAATTATAACTTTATTTATTTTTAATAGCATGTTACATTGTTCTTTAGCAAGTTTTAAAATATTCCTTGGATGTCATGTTTGTATGTGAGTAGTTTTAAATACATGACACAGATTTATGACTTTGGTCTGTTTCATCAGGATTACAAGAATTCGCAACAAAAACAAGCTATACGGGCTCTCAAACAAATCTAGAACAAGCTATTTCTTAATGAATCACCGTTTAAGCAATGCATTTCTGTTTAAGTAGCTATATTTAAAAAAATACACAAAAAAACAGCAAATATTAAAGCGACTGAAACAAATAATTTGGTTAAGCCCAAAGATACGCAATGGCTTATTTGTGTTCTGCCCACCACGGGTATCGAAACCCGGTTTTTAGCATTGTAAGTTTGCGGGTAACCTTGGTTCTGCCCACAAAATTTCAAGATCTTGTCCAAGATGACTTGGACAAAACCAAGTAGAAAACTATGTTTTAATGACTAAAAAATATAAGCTTTTCCTTTATTAAAATATCTTAATTATCTTTCATTTTTTCTCTCTCTCTCCGGGTGAAGAGTGATACAGACTTAATTATCTGTTAGTCCCATGTTAATTTCAATAATATTCTTCTTTAAATCTCTCTGGGCAAGTACATACTCAGTTGATGAGCACAGCATCGGTAAGCTTTTCCGTTTCAATAATGGACTCACTTGGCTCATGATTCTGCTTTCGGTTATCAGACCTTAACATATTCATCGTGTTCCAACATGCTTGTCCCTTTGTGGACTTAATCACTTTCTAATTGTTTAATTTGTTTTACTGAATTATTCAGACGAGATCAGTGTTTCGCAAACGGTGGATCGCAACCGCCTTGGGAACCGCGAGCAGGTTTCCAGGGGGGATTACGACCTGTCTGGGTTGAGTCAACATTTTTTTGTTTCCAGTCATCGAAGTGTCTGAGAGGGGCACATGTCACCTTTGTGATGAACTATAACGAACTGCGCCAAGAAGCATCAATAATGTTTTCATCCTTGTAGAGATAATGAGGGATCGCGACGACCAAAGCCCGGACGCGGGGGTCATCGGGAAAATCCAGCTGAGAAACACTGGTTTAAATCGTAAAGTAGGAGAATATCCTTTGCGATTTTAT